GAAGCGGGGGGGGGGGGGGCAAAAGCCCGAACAGCTTGAGGGGAAGGGGGGGTTTACTTGCATATGCGATTTTTTCCGCTACAGTAGTGCTGGTAGAATATTGTTCGGCCGATTGAGCCCGTCAGCGTATTGAGAGATCTTGTCGGGCACTGTACTGTACTGTACTGTACCGTACTGTAGCGGCGGGGATGAAAACGAAACAGTCGGACGCGGACGTGGATCCTGCTCGCATGTGCGGCGGCGTTATCGGAAGGAACAAGATTCAACACCGGAATGACTGAATAAAGTTCCTCGGGTGTTCGTCAAGTGGAAAGTGGCACCGGCATCACCAGCATCACCGGCAACGGCAGCAACAACAACAACAACGGCAACAACAATCACGCGTGCCTGACGTCACTTTTGGGGGACAAGGACGCCGTTCGTTTCCCCGGCCTTTTCGCCCGCAACAACCGTAACGTTGAATTTTCCTCGCCTGCCGTGGCGAGTTCTCCTGCAGGGCCTGCTTGATGGTGATGAAGTTCTTGAGGCTCTTGGACATCTTGAAGCCCTTGATGTGCAGGTGGCCGGTGTGCAGGAAGTAGTTCACCCACTGGCAGCAGTCGTACTTAGCCTCCGCCTGACCCGGCAACAACAAAACGGAAGAGCGCACGACCGGCCCCAAGGAGGCAAGAAAAAAAAGAACTTATGAAATGCCGCTCGAGATGGGCATATGGGGGAAACGCATCAAGGCGTCACGGGGCGTAGATGCTTGAGTGCATTGACCTCTGCGTAGCGGACACTTAGCGTTGGAATCGGCGAGAGCAGAGAATCAATCTGCCGAACGAGGGAGGCAGAGGAAGCTATAATAGGTGCTAATAGCTTTGCATAGCTGACCTGGGCCATCTCGTTGTCGTGGTGCGGGAACTTGAGGTCGACGCCCCCGGAGTGGATGTCCATCGTGCTGCCACAGAAAGGCAAAAAAAAAAAAGGAGAAAGGAACATCACGCAAACACACAATAATAAAACGACGCATGCCTCTCCCAAGATCCCTGAAAAGCGGTCCTTGACATCCCGCCGTAGTCTCGAGCCAGAATCGTTCCCAGTCTCCGAACTGACCGTGCAATACTGCCATCACCACGCTTCTCCGGTCTCTCCACTCCAAACATGAAAAAACTATCAAAACACCTCCAGCTCACAGAAGATCGTGCTTCACGTGCGATAGTAGGCCACGCGGATGGAGAACAAAATTGGCGTACGGATTCATCCATCCTTCTCTCGCCCGCGGCGACAGATTTAGCCCCCAACACACAGCGCCCTTGCTCTCAACGGTTGACTCTTTGATGCGCTCACGCCTACATGCAGCCAACCAACTACCTCCCCCACCACATTAACACATTATCCCATGTCGTATCCTCTGTGTCTCTCTCACCCGTCCCCCATCCCCTCGAACGTAGCGCTCGCCATTACGCTGCACTCGATGTGCCACCCGGGCCGCCCGTCGCCCCAGGGGCTCGGCCAGCTGGGCTCCCCCTCCCGGCTGCGCTTCCAGAGCGCGAAGTCGCCCGACGACCTACGGTATGGTGCGTGAAACAAACACGGTTTGTTTGGAAATACCATGGGAAATACCATGGGAAAGCTTTGCACCGGCCACGAAGGCGCAATTATGTTCGGTGCTTTCCAATCGGGAGAGAGAAAACGATGTTGAGTTGGAGGTTCCGGGAAACACGGTTAGTTTTTACCATGGTGCAGATTAACACCGGCCACCAAAGCGCGCTTTTCGGTTGTTTTCAAATCGGGAGAAGAAATATATACATATTGCTTTCTTAGAATACTGAGCCTTAAGTTCGGTTTGCAAAAAGCATAAAACAAAATATGAAGTAGCTCGAGATGCGTCCGTTATTGCCCAATCCTTTTCTTTTAGGTCATGTCCAAGCTAGTTCGGGAGACATGACGGAAAGCGGTATCATAGCATTCAAATTGTCGTGGAACAAACATACGTTCTACAGTAAGCGCTCACAATCCTAATCGAATTCGTTCAAGTGGCGTCAGATGACACAGGCAGCTGAAAATAAGTGAACAGAAGATGAAATTGGGCACAAATCCACCGAGTGAATACCGAAAAAAAACCCGGAGGAAGGCTCGGTCCCAAAACTACTGTTGTTGCGGCTCTTGGGTGGAAATACGTGCGGCGTCACAACCAACAAATAAAAAGCCGCAAAACAAATCTTGCAAGGGGGCCGCGATCGGAGGTAGCAGTCTGACCTCTTGTCGCCGGCCCCTAGGCTGAGCGCACCCTCCCCTTCCGCCATGAGCTCCCCGTTGCCGACCCCCTCGGGCAAGAGCTTAGCGTACGCGTGCCCCTTCTTCCCTTCGAAAGACTTAGGGGAACCAACAAGGACAACACATATCATATGCATATAGCCACGAAGGAAAAGGCGGTATTGCAATGAGGAAGAGGGGCGGGGGCGGGGGGGGTCAAAAACGACTGATGACGCGTATTGCTGCATCGTCGTTGCTGCATCATCGGCGTGTGACGTGTGACGTGAGGGAGTGGAAATAGGATGGATGGGACGGTAGGTTTGGGCAGGCCTGCAGGCATGCACACCTCGAGGCTCCCCGCTCGTTCAAAAACAGGGGGGTTGGATCAACACGTTGCGAAACGGCGGACGGGAAGGGCTATTGCACGCCCCCCTCGTCTCCCCCCAAGGGCGACAGGAACGCACTCGAAGCTACCCATCTACCCATCCCTCGCCGATCGCGGTAGGCGTGCAGCGGCCACATTCACTCTCACAGCAGCCACATTCACTCTCACAGCACTAGAGTGAGGAATCACTTCCGCCAGGTCTGCCACACACCGCGGCGGCAGGCGCCCGACCTTGGAGGCGGCTTTCCCCCTCACACAGCCAGTCCGCCATTCACCTCACCGCTGATCGGAACGCGTCTTAGGCATGACGGCTATTATAGCTGCCTACCGGTGATGAGTCAACCACGCCCCCCGCCCCCGTTGGCGCATGGCCACACGTGCACTGAGAAAAGCGTCGGAAAACAGCGAGTGATCTGGCTGGTGCAGGTGGTGCTGGTGATGGTGCTGGTGCTGACCTGAACGTTAAAGTAGACGGAACCGTTTGACTCGTAGGCGTAGCCGTTGTCGATGATGCCTTGGATGTACTCCACCACCTGATGGCCACGCACACGCCGCGGCAGGCACACGGGAGCAAAGAAAAGGCAAACGTGGAACCAACACCAGAAACGAAAGCCAATTCAACACAAAATCGCAGCGGAAGCCGAGGTCGGCAGAAAGCAAATAGCAAGAAAGCCGGCAAGGACACCCTCCAACATGCGGCGGAATAGCCAGGCAGAATCCGAGGAGACACCAACAGCGCGAACGCCCGCTTTTTCTCTCGATCTGCGCCCTACTCGAGGGGGAGGGGGGATGAGTAGGAATTTCGGAAGACGGCCCCGAAAGGACCATCAAATCGAGAGGTTAATTATAAGATTTGGTGTGGGGTTGTAGCAAAAGCGGTACAATATTTATTAGTGATTGCGATTGAGCGTTGTACAACAGAAACCTATACAACTTTTGCTCTCTGGGTTCGAGACCGAGACCCTAAAACCCAAAAATACAACATAGAGAAACATTTCGGAGCCGCCACCTATGGCAACGCAGGAGGGAGCGATTTACCATCGGTCTTGTGGGAACAACGCTCCGCCCTGTCCAGGACTTGCGGTCAACGGTCCGACAGCCAAGGCATGTGAAGCACGAGCACCCCCCCCCCCTCCCTTTCCCTCTCTTCACGGGCCCCCGAAAGCACCGAAAAACTCCAACAGCAGTCCTCTCCTCCTTCTCTCACCTCCGGGATGAACTCACTGACGCGTGTCACCACGGTGGGGGCGCGCACGCCTAGCAAGGCCATGTCCTGCATGTAGTCCTCCTCGAAGTGGGCCGCCAGCTCGCGATAGTTTTGCCCGCCCTGCCCCACCCCCACGCGCCCGGCAATGCACGTGCGTAAACGTGGAGAGGGATGCATGCCCACCCGATGGATACCCCCGGGGAGACGGACGACAGGCCGACAGGGAGGGCGAGTGGGGGAGAGAGAGAGAGAGAGACAGAGACAGAGACAGAGACAGCGAGACAGAGAGGCAGAGAGAGAGAGAGAGAGAGAGAGAGAGAGAGACAGACAGACAGACAGACAGACAGAGATTCAGAGAGATAGCAGAGACAGAGACAGAGACAGACAGAAGAGACAGAGACAAACAGACAGACAGATAGACGAAGAGCAAAATGACAAAACATAGCGCCGCATTTTGCATCCATCCACGCTGTAGAGAGAGCATGTCTCATCCGAGCAAGCGATGAAAAATGTATCGAAACCCAAGTCCGTCCAGCTACAAGCATCGCTGAAGACGCGGTAAATCCAGGCTGACGGGGACGCACCTCGTTGGCCCTGGTGATGATCTTGTCATCGATGTCGGTGATGTTCATGCACAGAGACACGTCGTAGCCGAAAAAATCGGTCATCACTCGCCGAAGGATATCGAAGTGCAGGTATGTCCGCGCTGAGGGAGACACAAGGATGCGGCGGAATACACGGCAGAGCGTTTGAAAGAAGAGACGACAGCAGTGTCTTCGCCGCGAAAAAAAAGCAGGAGGGATGCAGTGGCGTGGGCCTTGATCAGACGCTACATGTGCGATTGAAGCCTCGTGTGATTTTCACAAGGCGTGCTGAAAAAAAACTTCCCCTCCAGGAGGTTCAGAGGCTGCGTTTGTCGTCGCCCCCTGCTACACGTCTTCACCGCATCGGTCGAGGGACAGACCGGGTTCACCACACGGCCTTCTACGGGTACGCGCGGTTTATCCCGCTTTCTCTCTTCCGTTCGTGTCTGCGTGCCCCCCCCCTTCCTCTTTCCTTGTCTCTCCTGCGAATATCGGGACGCCCGCGACAACGGAACCTCTGCTGCTGAATAACGAAGGGCGCCTTTAGCGCTTGTCTTCGGTGGCCCGGAGATTTCAATCTAGACCAACGTCCTGACGCACACCCGGCAACGGTGTGTTCGTGTGAGCGACAAAAATCATCCCTACGTACGACATTCAAACTCGCCAGATACCACAGTGTGCCCCACCGAGAGTCTCTGTCTCTGTCTCTGTCTCTCTCTCTCTGTCTCTGCCTCTCTCTGTCTCTGCCTCTCTCTTCTCTCTCTCTCTCTCGGGAATGTTCTCACCGTGGCCCATGTGGCTGGGGGCGTAGACAGTGGGTCCGCACATGTACCACAGCACCCGGTTGGAGTCTTTAGGCACAAACCGAGTCTGCCGCAGGCGACAGGACAGGGGAGCGACGGGCGAAGAGAGGGGGGGCGGGAATAAGACAGGAGTTTGGTGACGGAGGAACAGCGTAAAAAAAATGGCCAAGAGACGTGCAAAAGAGAAGGCCACCAAGGTCGCTGGAAGCGACAGGGGAGAGCTGTAGTGGGTTTCCGGTCCAACACCTGAAACGCACGATGGATAGCTGTTCATTACCGTCTTTGTGACGTACCTCATCAGAGAAAGTCCTGTCCGCATTCTCTTTCCGCCCCTAGTCTACCGATACGGATACGAAGCGCCCCAGAGACACGTACCACGCTGTACCCGAGTTTGTCTTGTGAACCGTATACCATAATTGTATCGGGATGCTCACGACGTACACTCGAGGTGGATTACAAAAACGCTTTTGAGCGCTTGTCTTGGGGGACCCCGGGATCTTAACCTCTAGACCCATATCATTATTGCGTGTCCGCGGTCAACGTCCTGCCGCACGACCGTTTGTGGTGTGTTCGTGTGAGCGCACGGATCACCGCTATGTGGTGCGATATTTAAACTCCCCAGGGACCGTAAGGGAAGTGCGGACAAACTGCTCCCCGTGCTATTCGCAGCAGTTGGAGATCCACAGCCTTCGTGTGGCTAGTTTTCGCCAATGCCAATGTTCTGGTAGACAGAGAAGGATTGCAAAACACACCACCGCGACGACTGTGCAGGCAGGGCACGAGCATCCTGCGCAGAACTAACGCGCTAGCAGCATGGGGCACGGACAGTTCGTACAAAAAGTGGATCGTCTCCACTAAAGCTGCGGACTGGTGCAGCAGGCTGAACGGCGGAATCTGTTGTATACAATATACAGCTGCTGTAGGCATAGTGAGCATGTCGCACTCTCGTTGCCCCAATGGAACTATTGAATGGTTGCTTACCCTGTAATGGGAGAATTGAGGGGAGATGCACGTCATGAGCAGACTGCTGTTGGCAACGCACTCACAGCTCCGCGAATGGGGCACAGCTGAGCGACAGCTGTGTGCCAACCGCACACATCCTCCCATGTTCCACGTTCCGCACCACAGCTTGCAAACAGAACACCCCCGCCACACGAGAAGAGCGACAAACACACACGACTACCGCATCAGGAGCGCAACGACCTTTGGTCTACTGCATACCTTTGTCCTCGTTAGCGAGTTGAAGACCTTGAGAGGGTACATCCTGTCCATCATCTCCGTCAAGCCTCCCTCGCCGAGCGGTCTCGGAGGCACCCACGTGGGCATGCCGGCCTTCTTGCATCCCTCTCCTGCTTCCCCGCAAGTAGCCATGACGGCAGTCAAGCACACACTGCGGTGTGGTATTTCCACCCGGCGTTCACGGAAGCGTGTGTTGTGGCTCGTGTGTGCTGCTGGTTGCGAGTATCAAGCGTGTGGGCCAGGGTGGAGAGCAGCACCCACAGGAACGGTTCCATGGGGGTCTGTCTAGATTGACTGCTTTGCCACTACCTACTACAATTCTGCGTCTCCCCCACAGGCTCACTTTGGTTTAGGCAAAACAAAAGCGCACATCATCACACAGCAGCGGTGGACACGCGGTAGCCACATGGCAAGCTCGGCGAGGGGAGCAGAGGAGGAGGTGTTTGAGACGCCCGATGTTGGGGAGGACGGGTTAGAGCAGCACTCGGAAGGTGAAATACCGAACCCAACCCTGTCGAAGACCGGCAACAAGGTACGGCAGTCTCTCCTGCGTTGCAACAACAGCAGTGCATCATGGACCAGATCGGCAACCGCCGTTGTGGCTTTTCCAAGGGCCGAACAAGTCCGTGGGTCGGCAGCGGCCGCTTTCGCGGTGGTCTTGCCTTGCTTCCAATGCATCACGCGCACACCTTGCTTCAGACAAGAGAAAGCAGGGAGCAACGAATGCGGCTTGATTATGCACCCAATTCAAAAAGTAAAGTTCCAACTGCGCAACTTCATGCATGTGGGCACTATTTCTTCTCGCTGTGTTGCACTTGCCGTGCGGGGTGTGCACACGTGCACACCCACGGCAGTAGACCGCAGCAATAGAGTCGCAAGAGAGGCTGATGCTGTTGTGTGGGGGGAGACCAGGCTGCTGTTGTTGGGCTGGGGTGATGGTGGGCATGGTTACCCCCGACATTAGATGCCACACCGGTGGACCGATTTTCAAAGCGATTTCTCACAGCAGCACGAATCGCGGTGCCGAAAACGACGGCGTTGAGAGATTTTCCGAAAACGCACCGTTTCATGTGTGCATCCTCTTCGGCGTGGAGTAATCGGGCATTGAAAATGGTTGAGAGGGTGCAGTGTCTTGTGTCAACAGCAGTAAGAATCTTTGCTGAGGTGCCGCTCTTGCTCTGTCCTCGGCGTCGTATTCCCCCGCCCGCTGTGTTCGACCAGATCTCATTTGGCAGTTGCCAGCACACAACATCACTCCCCGAGGCGTGGAATGTGAAAACGATACCGCCTGCCCTTTTATCTATCTCTGCCGACGCACTTATGGTGAAGGTTGGTCGGTGTCTTCCTTGCTCAACCTTCTGCACGTGCTCTTTCTACATAGCTATATACGTCGACTGGGTTCCCCCCCAACGAATTGATCTCCGTCCGTTTCGAAACACGTCAGGTGCCGGATGCCGAGGTGGTGGAATCCTTCGTGCCTCCCCAGGCAGCCTTCGAGGTGAGCCTCTCCAAACGTAACGCAACGTATCGTAACGGTCGAGGTTGATTTAGTGTCCCCGTCTAGCCTACACCACCACCTCACAACCCGGCTTGTAGCATATGTCCAGCCACAACGTCCCCCTTATCACTTTCTCTTCACTCTCTCGATCGATCGAGAGATACGTGGAGAGAGAGAGAGAGAGAGAGCAGTTCAACGAATGTCCGGGCATCAGCTTGGGACGCCAGGCGCATAAACCTAGCTCCATCCATGCATCTGTTTACACGATTTGTGCGGTGATTTGTGGTTTACGCTGCTTGGTGGCTTGGGCAGGTGTTCATGGGCAGGACCTACGCCGGCGCCCGAGAGGACATGTCGGACGTCGTGGGAGCCGCCGCCTCATCTTCTTCCTCCGCAGGAGGCGCCGTCTACGAGGGGGAGGGTTACCACCGTCCCCTGGCCGGGGCACCGCCTCCTGGAGAAGGTGAACCGCGCAAGTACCTTTTTGAAGGGAAGTTGCTCAATGTCCTGGCCCGAGAGGTAGCGTGCGTCCAGAGATTCTCGGCGGGAGATATCCCAAGACTTTGTTTTCGTATGAGTAAAGGCGGGCCGTTTTCGGTGGGCCGTTTTAGGGTGGAACGATCGACACACTTAGGAAGGCTGGACAGTAGTGTTGCGTGTGCGTGAAATAATAATGTGCCTGTAGGAGGAGACTGTGCGCGCAGGCGGGGTACGACGCAGCCCTTGTTATGCCCACCCACGCACCACGTCTCGATGTTCGTTGGCCTGTCCTTCCTCGCGATAGCGTCCTGCTCGATGTATGTCCCGGAGAATGCGGTTGAAACCCTCTCTTCCTCAGAGAAACTCTGCGCTCCCCTTGTTCACGAGCGATTTCGCTTGCACCTGTCTTGCGCCATCCGGCCGAAAAAAAAAGTCTCCTCGAAGATGCTCTGCACGCCTTTTGATTCACTCACGGGCGATTCGCTTGCTCTTGTCATGGGCCATCCGGCCGCAGGTGGTGGCGAGGTGGAGACGGCGGCTGGCGTGAGAGGGGGGGGGGGGTCGGGGCCGAGGAGGAGGACCGGCGAGAGCCCCTTGCAGCGACTGGTGAGGCTGAGGGAGGAGACGGCCATGCTGGCGGAAGACCTAGAGGAGATGTCGAAGGTAAGGTATACTGTGTGTGTGGGGGTGATACGGTCCCGTTTTTGCTGCACATCGAAGTAAAGGACTACCCTTGTTGTTGTTTTTGCTTCTCCGCTTTCTTCCTGCGGTGCTTGCCTGTGATTTCTCCCGCTAGCAGGGTTTCGGCGGTCCGCTTTTTGATGTGCTTGCGTTGGCTCGATGTTTGTTCACTTCTAGTTCGCGAGCTCTATCCCTCCGTAAGTATTCCAATTCACGACCCAGGGTTCAGATACTTCCGAGGGTACCAACTGAACCACGGGCCTAAGGCGTGGCTGAGAAGTATCACGGTAACGGGGTCGTTGGTCCACGTACAACCCTTCCGTGCGCTATTCATGGGTACATTATTTTGCTACGGCTATTTTGTTTTTATGTCAGCGAAGACACCCATCCCCTTCTCGGCATGCCTCGTAGGCTACCGTGGGTGACATAAGATTTCACAACCCACGTAGCCGCATTCAGAGCTCGATTTCTTCGCAGCAGAAGGAGTGGCGGTGGCGATGTCGGAGCCGTCTCGTCGAGAGTTTTCGTACCATCATTTCATTCGTGCATGCTGCTGTCGTCGTGGAGTAGTCGATCTTTGAAAATCGTTCCAAGGGACGCGGTATCTCACGTCATGTCACCTGTGGTAACGCTCTTTGCCCTCCCGCTTCTGTACCCGGATAGGCGAGGAGGACAGATAGAGCCGGAGACGCCGAAGGGGCACAAGAGAGTGAGGGTGGGGCGGCGGCGGGGGGGTACTCGTTGTGGTCGGCCATGGCCAAGGAGACCGAGGCGCTCAAGAGACAGCTTGCGCTCCTGTCGGGGGACCCAAGGTTCAAGGTACACATCAATCGTGGAAAGGTGTTTCGTGTTGCTGTTGTTGTTCTCGTCGTTGTTGCTACTGTTGACGCTCGTTGTTGTGTTTGTGCGGGTCGAGTGCATCTCTGGAAATAAAGACAGCCGGTACACGGCTCGCCTCCGTTCTAGAATTGTCAGACGCCAGAAATAACCCCCAAGGTGCAGCACCTGTTCTTGCTGCTGTAAATGTTCACCGCGAAGCGAACGCTTGTTGATCTCCCGTCGGAGAGGGGGAAAGTAGTGTCTTCGCGTAGGAGTACGGTGGGGGGGGCTCAGTAGTGTCGGTATGGACCAGACCAGCATACCGGCACTATTCAGAGGGGCCGGCACCATTCAAAGAACTGAATGACTTTGTGATTCAGTCTGCGTCCGCCCAGAACACCGACACTACACAGGGCGTAGGCGCCATTCAACCGGCACGACCGCGGGCCCTTGGCTATTGCAGTATGTACTGATGGCTTCCTCTCTGGGTCCGCAGCCACCCTCTCGCGCACGCCCTCACCCCCCCCACTTTATCTGTCGTCGACCCGCCGTTCACCGGTGGTGCTATCGTACCCCGTGCCTCGACTTCGCTGGAGTACAGGCCTCTCCCCCTCCCCGCAACGGGATTCCGTTGTTCGTGCACCCACCTACCCCGTTTGTGACGCACCATTTTGCGTGGACGCCCCCGGCGTGCGAATTTTTTATGTGCAGCACATCATCTCGTCGACCCCGGCGACGGGCCGGGATCAAGACGTGCTGCAGCAACGTCTATCGGAGGGGGTGGTGAGGGCGCTGGAGAACCTCCGAGAGCCGGCCGGCGATCCCGCGGCCGAAGGTGAGGGTATGCATGCGGACGTGAGATTTTTTTTTTTGTCCCTGGCCATGGCGCTTTTCCACCGTGTTCCTTTGTTGATGGCCGAGGACAAGCACCGTGAAAGGGTTTCGCGCTGCGGCCGGCCTCAGGGTCCAATCAAGCGCGATCCCTACCTATGTACGTAGTCGTTTCGACGCCTCGCATCGAGTTGCTCGATGGAAACATCATCACAGCAGTATGTTCGAATCATGCGAGGCCACCGGCAGGGCCAACACCAACTGCTGCCTGTGGTCCTCGCTGACAATACGCAAGATATGGACGTGTTCCGCCCGATGCTTTCATTCCCCACGCCACACGAAAACCAGCACCAATGGTGACCACGTTTCGGTGGGAGTGAGGAAACTTCATTCATGCACCACCATTCGCTCCCCCCCCAGGAAGGAACGATTGGCCATCGGTGATCGGTCGGTCCTGTGGGACCAATGCTCCGTCCTCTCGAAGACGCGTGATCAATGGTCTAGCCGCTAAGGCATGCAAAACATGAGTTCGCCCCCCCCCCCCCCCCCCCCCACCCGGGGTCCCCTTTCCCCTTTTTTCCCGGGAGCAACAAAAACACCCCAAAA